ACTCTGACCATCAGCCAGCCCCCCCCTCTAGCCCTCCCCCCCTCCCTCCCCCCCACCCTCCTTCCCTCCTTCCTTCCTCCCCCCCCCTTCCCTTTCACTCTCCGCCACCCGCGCGCGTCGTCCTACCCTTCCGCGCCCTACGACGGTGTACACCGCGCCCGCGCGTGCCCTTTTCCGCTTGCGGAAACTGCGGCGAGTGTCGCGTTGTGTCCGTCGTTTCTATTCTGTCGTATCGCGTCGCGTCCCGTCATCTGCGCGCTTCCCAGGGGACATAGAGGATATGCCCTGCACGGGGGGGATCGATCCCCGTCACTGACCCAAAACTGACATCGCCGTCGTCGTCGCGAGTGTGGTGGAAAATCGTGTGCGCGCAATTGGATCGTGTATCATCGATAATTAAATCGCCGCAATCGTGGATAACAACGGCCGGTACGAGATGCAGAAGCGGGACGGCAGGGACAACCGCGGCGACAAGGAGCTCGGAGCGCGCGGCACCGAGCGCGACCAGGAGGTCACCAAACGGACCTCCAGGGGCAGCGGCAATGCCGCCCGGTCGAACGTGCACTCGTCCCGGCACAGCGTCACCTCGTCGTCCGGCGTGCTCATGGTCGGCCCGAACTTCCGGGTCGGCAAGAAAATTGGCTGTGGAAACTTCGGGGAGCTTCGTCTCGGTGAGTCCTTCCTCGCTATCGAGTCAGTTTTTCTTTTTTCTCGTAACGAAAAAAAAAAAAAAATGAGCGAAATCTACACTTTCCGAAAAGTAAAAGGAAATATCTACGATGTAAACGTAATATTCTATTATCGTCTCGCTCGAGTATCCGCTTTGACGTTTGAAATAGCGTTTTCTGTACGCGGAATGTTCCATCGAGACGTTAATCTTAATGGCAGGTTTCCTGATAAAATTATGATCGATTTTTCCTCAGCGAAGACGTCGAGATACCGACAGTTGTCGAGAGCAATTGCAAGAGGACTTTCCGCACAAACTGTGCTTCAGCAGAATGAATAAGTAAACAAAATCGCGTCTCTTATGTTTAATTTTTAAAATAAACTCCAATGTAATTTTAATTGCTGAACTTTAATACTTTAAGACCTGATTTTTTCTATTTTTTTTTTTTTTGGCATCCTTGTACTTTGACTTTAAGCGAGGTTTAAAACTCTCTTTTCTTGAAGCTGAGAGAGGAAAGAGTTTTAAGCCTCGCTTAAAGTTACAGTAACAATTGGATTCAAGTTACGAAGATATGTAATGTTTAAAAAAATGGAAAGTAAACGATGATCTCCCTCGACATTTTTGCCAAGAAAAAAGTTGACTCTAAATTAAGGTATTCTGCCATTATAATTAAAGTCGTGAGAATTGCGGGATATTTCGTATCTATTTATGTGAAGAATATCATGTGTATGAAAAATCGAGATAAAGACAAGTCCATGGAGCTCATTCTCGGACACACGATTCAATTTATCATAAATAGCAGTACGATTCGTCATTACGTCTTTTCTTAAAATATTTGTGATACATAGTCTTTATCGTATTTTTATATCCACATTAAGTTAATTCCGATCTTGTAAAAACAACATCGTAATAAGATCATTGTTAAGCTGAGGGAAGCATCGTGAAATTAAATTGATGAATAAAAATAGTTTTTCGCTCGAGATATATATATATATATATATAACACGGATTATCTATGTCTTATCTATCACGAATTTATAAAGTACTATCTTTTTTGACTCAAGAAAGTTTTGAAAGTTTTGACTTACCGTGAATTCTACAAAGTATATATAATGAATTTAGAACGTTTTTGAAAAAAAAAATTAATATTATCTTTTATCACGAATTTATTTATTAAGTATATTTTATGAGTCTCGAGAAAATTTTTAAGTATTTGTTGCGAATTTATACGACGTATACATGTCGATACAACGATAACATAATTTTTTAAAAGTTTTTAACATTATTTATCTATTATGAATTTATATGGAGTAGGTATATTTATTATATATATAATGAATTGAAAAAATGTTTTAAAACTCTTTTAATTCTATTTATCGTGAATTTATATATGTACATACATATAAAGTGTATATAATGATTTGAATTCATACAAATGCATTAAAATTGAAAACAAGATGAAACGCTATGCCAAGAAAAGATTTCGGAACAATGCCAAGTGTGTATGTAGGGCACACGAACTTTTTTCATATTCTTTCAAGCTGAAAAACGAGCGAACCGACATATTAGATCTCCGTCACGTGGTTAGCATTCAGCGTTTTTAGTCGCGAATTGAATTATTGTTTACCACGATATTGCAATCTGCACTCTCGTGTGTAACAGTGATGAAATTAGAAGTTATCAGCCCCTCGAGAGAGCTCGCGGCGTTTGTGTGATTAATGACGTCTGCCGGCGTGTTGAAAACAATGATTCTAACATTGGGAGAGGCTAACGCTCTCCCGATTATCACGGCAATATGGCATAATACGGTTCTTCTACATACTGACATTATTGTATAGAAGCTTGTAAATATTGATGTCCCTCCCACAAAACGCCAACGTATTCTTCTAATAATTATTAATCACAAACGGTATGAATTATTTTTATCCCCTTTGAATTATAAAAAACTATAAACGGACTAGTTCGATTTTCGACTAAAGACATGTAACATTTTTGAGAATTATACCCTCTTCTGTATAATTATTAACCACAGATTGTACAAACTATTTTTATCTTCTTTGAATGATAAAATAAACGTTTGATTTTTATCTTAAAATATGTGTTTGAGAAACAAAAAGCTTCGAGAAACTTGTACACTATGTATAATTATTGTATTGACCATAAATAGTACAAATTATTTTTATTCTTTTTGAATTAAAAAAAATCGATTTTTATTTTAAAAACGTGCTTCTTTCCATCTTGAATTTCCATTTTTTAAATATAATTTTTTAAATTAAAATTAAAGAATTAGTTCTTCGATGCCTGTTGAAATTGAAAATTTGCCGATAAAAGAAAACCTGTTCCTCATTCTTTCGGTGTATTGAAGGATACTTTTTCAACTGACGTTTCTTAGACTCGAGTTTCTCAACAGAGAAATCTTTTGCCGAGCTGACGAAATATCAGGCGGGCTGACACAGCGAAACGGCTTAGCAGCTTTGATGCGCTTGGAGCAACATCTTGGTAGCGTTTCATCGCGCGCGAGCGATGCTCATGGAAACATTGCGTTTTCCAACGTAATGACCGTGGTTGTTACTGCAAAAGCGTTCATGCGGAAAATCCTACAGCGCGCTCGGCTCATTGCGCGGTTTATACGAGCCACGATTTCGCTAACGCGTTATTACCCATTCGTAATGATGACTTTGTTAGTAATAGTCACATTAACAGCTCGTTCGATGTCATCTCGTTATTATATCACTCGCAACAAGTTAACAATTAGCTTTCATCAGCTGTTAATATCAGAGATTATATACTTAAAAAGATAGATAAACTTATCCTGCAGAGAGTATATTTTCCTAGAAGTGAGACAGTAACAGAGAGGGGGAGGGGAGGGAGGAAAACACATGTAAAACGAAAAGATCAAAAGAGAACATAAATTTTGCTCTGCGAAATATTTATCCGGAATGAACATGGAGAATAAATGTAGAAGAGAGATAATCTCTCTCGACATAAGGCTCCGGGGAAAGAATTTCCAGAAATCGCTCTTGCGTGATTCATCTTTGAATACACTCACTCTTGTGGGTGAATATTCGTGCGGTTCTACCACCGGCTGCCTTCTTGAAATGCCTGCCACGACGCAAGACCGCAGTTTGCTCGAAAAATATTTAAGGTTTACCGGACGTTCCTGCGTTAGGAGCGACACTTGTGAAGCATATCGCGTTATCTTTCCTCGAATAAACAAGTCACGCTGAGATACGGAAAAGCAAAATTTAGTGCAATAGATACATATAATTCAACTTAATTTTAATTTTAATATCATAGATTCAATTCGTCAGAGGTAATGCAAAAAAGATGGTGTTCGATAGAATTTTTGCTAGGAAAAAAATTATATTTATCAAGAAATCCGCTGTTATAGAAAAATATGGCGGTCGATGATTGTATATTTTAAAACGAGATGAAAACTACTACGAGAGAGTAAATTTACTAGAATATTTGTAACTTTTTTTTTTATTGGTGCACGCCTAATCAATTTACTCTTTTTTGTCATTTTCACCTTGTTTCAAGTCAACACAGTTGATCTCCTGATTGTTGATATATTCCGTATGCTATATTTTCGTAAATACTGAAGCACAAAACTAACGTTTGCGTTTAGTGAATTTAAGACACCTCAATATGCCATATTGATAACAACATGAGTCATTGACAATTAAATTGCGTTACCATGTTGCACCGCCTTTTACGCTTACGTTGGTATGTCGCGGAGACGTTACTCTTTTTTTTTTTCTTCTATCCACGTTCGTCACTCGAAAATATTGAAATGTAAGAACACTAAAAACACATGATTCATATTAAAGGTATTTTCTGTTATATTTTCCCGCTCTTAAAAATTATTGTATAATATTTAACACACATTGAACCAATAATTATTTAGGAATTATATTCTCTATTTTTTAAACACCTAAAGATGTTTTCGTTTTAAACCTTTTTAATAAACAAAACGCTATGCGTGTTCCAAACACGCTTTGTTTATTGAAGAAGTTTAAACTAAATTATCTTAAGTGTTTAAAAAACGGAGAAACAAGAATAAAACATTTTAATATCTTAAACTTAAATACTTTTTTTTACATTGTAATAGTTATTATATTGATAAGTATGGTAATACCGTTTGATAATTGTATTAGGTTACATTCCGTGTTTGTTTGTTTCTTTTCCCTTTCTCATTCGAGCATTTCAAAATATACACACTAAGAAAAATGTTCTGATTAAATTGAACAAAAAAAAAAACCCAATCAGAATGACATATTAGCCAAGCAAAGTTTTTGATTATCAAAACCAGTTATTATAACCAGAAATTCTGTTTGGCCTTATAAAAATGTCGTTCTGGATGGGCTTTTTTGCTAGTTTAATCAGAACATTTTTTTCTGTGCGCAGTTATTTCATTTTGACGAGCGTAAAAATGTGCAAAAGAACGTGAATTGGGCAAACGGGTTTGCATGAAGCCCCTCCTAGTTTCGACAACGAAACGAGCATCGGCGGTGGCAACGATGCGTTTGTCGAATAACACTCGACACCGGAACGAATCCGAGCCCTTCATTGGCTTGACTGGCTGCCCCGGCCGCGCAATGAGGGACACGCGTGTGTCGTTAATATCGTTATGTACGCGTTATCAGTTTATCACCTACCTCGTGCTTGTCTTGCTTCTCGCTTGCTCGAGGGCCATAAACGCGTTTATCAGCAGCAATTCACTCGTCGCGCGCATCGAGTACGAAATCCGACGAAAATTGTCAGCAAATTGCTCTCCGGTCTGCTGATACATCGCCTCGAATCAGGAATCGTATATACACCTTAATGACCCAATTTCGAAACTCTCGGCTCCATCTCGGCCCAGATTTTTGTAAGTCATACACATGTACGTATTGCACGCGATCGTTACTTTGCGCACAGTTAGACAAACAACTTAAATAAACAAGTTCTTCGAACAATAGAGATATAGCTCGTGCGAAGCATTGTTCTTTTTATGAGAAGAAG